TGTAGTCCAAAACTTCTGGAGGGCACTAGATTGTGGAAGACTGGATGGTAAGTTTGGCTACCTATACATCAAAACATTTTTATACTGAGACTTGCATCCCCTACTTTATGTATGTTTCCCTGGAAGTAACCTGAGTTTATTTAATCTCATTCATAGCTCACAGTGTGTAAGCTTGTCGTTTAATCCTACATATACCGTATTTTTCGCACTATAGGACGCACTTTTTCCCCTCCAAAAATGAAGGGGAAATGTGTGTGCGTCCTATGGTGCGAATGCAGGCTTTTGCTGAAGCCTGGAGAGCGAGAGGGGTCCGTGCGCACCGACCCCTCTCGCTCTCCAGGCTTCAGGAAGCTATCCCAAGTCTTGCAAGCCCGGCGGGATGTCCCGCGGGCTCGCAAGGCTTGCGGGCAGCAGCCTGCACCCAAAAGCTGGGGACAGCGGGGAGGCGCAGAGCCGCCACCCCGCTATTCCCCGACATGATCTGGAGGCTGGCGGGGGGAGAAGCAAGCCTGCTTCTCCCCCCCAGCCCCACAAGCTCGGGGGATAGGGGGATGGCGAAGCGCCGCCATCCCGCTATTCCCCGACCTGATCTGGAGGCTGGGGGTGGGAGAAGCAAGCCTGCTTCTCCCCCCCACCATCCCCACAACCTCCAGATCAGGTCGGGGAATAGCGGGATGGCGGGGCTCCGCCATCCCGCTATTCCCCGACCTGAACTGGAGGCTGGGGGTGGGAGAAGCAAGCCTGCTTCTCCCCCCCCCCAGCCCCACAACCTCCAGATCAGGTCGGGAAATAGCGGGATGGCGGCGCTCCGCCATCCCGCTATTCCCCGACCTGAACTGGAGCCTGGGGGTGGGAGAAGCAAGCCTGCTTCTCCCCCCCACCAGCCCCACAACCTCCAGATCAGGTCGTGGAATAGCGGGATGGCGGTGCTCCGCCATCCCGCTATTCCCCGACCTGATCTGGAGGCTGGGGGTGGGAGAAGCAAGCCTGCTTCTCCCCCCCACCAGCCCCACAACCTCCAGGCTTCAGGAGAGCCCCACCGCCAGCCCCACAAGCTCGGGGGACAGCGGGAGAGGCGCAGCGCGCCCTTCCCGCTGTCCCCCGACTTGGCTAGAAGGCTGGCGGGGGGAGAAGCCTGCTCCTCCCCGTCGCCAGCCCCGCAAACTCGGGGGACAGCGGGAGAGGCGCAGCGCGCCTTTGCCGCTGTCCCCCGACTTGTCTAGAAGGCTGGCGGGGGGAGAAGCCTGCTCCTCCCCGTCGCCAGCCCCGCAAACTCGGGGGACAGCGGGAGAGGCGCAGCGCGCCTTTGCCGCTGTCCCCCGACTTGTCTAGAAGGTTGGCGGGGGGAGAAGCCTGCTCCTCCCCGTCGCCAGCCCCGCAAACTCGGGAGACAGCGGCAGGGGCGCAGCGCGCCCTTCCCGCTGTCCCCCGACTTGGTTAGAAGGCTGGCCCAGCCCCGCAAACTCGGGGGACAGCGGGAGAGGCGCAGCGCGCCATCCCGCTGTCTCCCGACATGGTTTGGAGGCTGGCGGAAGGCTTCCTCCTCCCCCAGCCCCGCAAGCTCCCAGAGCGATGCCAAAGCTGCGCGCAGCTTCGGCATGGCTCTGGGTCCCGTTCTGGGGGAGGGGGAAGCTCGGGCTTCCCCGCCCCAGCCCCGCGCCTGGCGGGGGGGGGGAATAAATTTTTTTTGCCTTTATTTCCCCCCCCCAAATCTAGGTGCGTCCTATGGACCGGTGCGTCCAATAGTCCGAAAAATACGGTACTTCTTCAGAAGGCTACAGCAGGACCAGCCACCCCCCTCTCTCCCTCCCTCTCCTTCTAGTGATCTGTTCTACTCATGTACAGGAGCCCATGGAGGAAGGCAGTTCAGTTGTTGCAAAACCACAGAGAGCTCCAAGTGAGCAACTTTCTCCACAAGTGTTGAAAGTGAACTGAGGCCTTTTGAGCCTTTTTGTCTGCAGTCCACCTCTCCTAGGTATACTGACCCTTTTTGGAAGATTAGAGTCCCTCAAACAGCCAACCCTCTGACCTGAATAAGAGCATTTCATGGGCTTCAGACTGGTTTGCTGCCCATGCAATTGTACTGGCAAGGTACTGTAGAACTTGGCTGTTCAGACCCAGGGGAAGGATCCCACTGTTTCCATTTCCACGGCTGCCCTGGTGCTATGGCATCTGGTTCATTAGACTCCTATCCACCAGCTTTGGATTCAGTGGACAGACTGAATTCTAATAAGATAACCGATTGCCCTCTTTGAATGATCTCTTTTAATCTTGGCTGCCTCTCTGTGAGGATCAGTGCCAACGTACATCATCTCAGATGCTGTATTAAAAAACACATACAACTTCCAAACTAGGTAGGACATATTTTGAAGGAAAACTTGGCAATAACTCTTCTGCAACAACATCCGCTCAGAAAATAAGTCCTTCTGGGGTAGCTGATGCCAGACTGCGAGGGGGAAATTGATTGGGGTTGAAAACAAACTAATCTTCAGTTGCTGCAAAAAAGATGACTTGGGTGCTGTGACATTTTTATGACATAAGATTGCTTATCTTTTGGCTTAAAAACAACAACACCCTGCTGAACTCTTATCCGACAAAAAAGTGGTGTTCGGATGTGTGGTGCTTATTGTGTAGGGAAAGAAGAGTTTTGCGGTGGCTGCTGGTTGTGCAGCTCAGTCTAGACATGTGATGGGAAGAGCAGAGGAGTGAGGTTTGCAGAGGCAAAAGGACTAGGACAAGAAGTGTGTCTGTTGAAGCTTCCTGACGAAACCTTTGTGATATTATCATTCTTTCAATGGATTCTTATAATCATAGCTGCTATCCAACTGTGTCTGTGATGGAATATGCGTACTTGAGAGGGTCCTAGTTTTGTTTGGTTGTTTATGGATGATATTAATACCCCTCCTAGTAGCTGAAAAGGCTCTCAGAGTGGCATGCAAAAATCAATATTTAGGAGTATAGAGCTTCCTCTATATTCTCCTTTTGTTTTTTGGTGGAAGTTTCATCTAACCCAGTTTGATCAACACAGAGGTTCTTTTCTTTCCCTTTTGATACCATCACACAAGTTGTGTCTACTTCAGTTCACTGTTTCAAAAACTATGGCACAACCAAAGTCCATTTTGTGCTGATGGGGAGCACAATATGTAAGGCCTCGAGGTGTGCTTGGCATTTTCAGTAGTTGTCATGGGAGTCAGATCCAAAAGAGGACAGAGCTTTCTTGCACCTTTAATTACCAAGTAGAAGAGTGTGTTTCCGTAGGTGTAGGTTGTCATGCAAACTCCTGTTTGCCCAGACTCTTCTTTAGCCAGGAATTTTGCTTCTTACAAAAAAGTTTGGAAAATAGATATGGATACCATGTGTGGGTTGGGTGTGTTTATACATATTATCCAATGCAACTCTCTGCCAGTCTTTTGAGATTATTCACACACACCATTGTCTGCTAGGCAGAGATGGTGAGCTTTTCCAGAATTAATAATGACTGTTTGGCATTTAGTAATGGGAACTCAAGAGTGACTATTAGTTAAGCAGCTGGCATCTGGCTTCCAATGTATAATCACACTTAATTGAATCATTGCCATTTTATTTAATCACTAGTAACTGCATTATAAACTCTGGAGATGATTAGTGGTAAGAGTAACAACATCTGTCTTTTAAAAAGACATGTGAAATATGTGTCATGTTGCTGATGCCTAGCAAAGTGGCTTTGCAGAGTCCCCCCAAGGTACACATTAAAAGAATCTTGAATTACAATATTGGAATGCTTCCTCTAAACAAGAACTTCTTCATGTTGTGCTGCTACAAAGTGTTAAGAAACTTCAATCCAGATAGTTTGGAGTACTTTGGGGAATTATAGTACAGGTAGGGGTTATTTGGTGGGGGACGTGGGTGGCGCTGTGGGTAAAAGCCTCAACGCCTAGGGCTTGCCGATCGAAAGGTCGACGGTTCGAATCCCCGCGGTGGGGTGCGCTCCCGTTGCTCGGTCCCAGCGCCTGCCAACCTAGCAGTTCGAAAGCAATCCCGGGTGCAAGTAGATAAATAGGGACCGCTTACTAGCGGGAAGGTAAACGGCGTTTCTGTGTGCGGCTCTGGCTCGCCAGAGCAGCGATGTCACGCTGGCCACGTGACCCGGAAGTGTCTGCGGACAGCGCTGGCCCCCGGCCTCTTGAGTGAGATGGGCGCACAACCCTAGAGTCTGTCAAGACTGGCCCGTACGGGCAGGGGTACCTTTACCTTTACCTTAGGGGTTATTTGGAGGCATCGTGCCTCTGTATACCAATTGCTGGGAATCACAAATGAGGAGAGGAGACCACTGTTGTACCCACATCCTGCGAGAACAGGATGTTAGACGCGATGGGTCTCTGGTCTCAGGGACAGAGCTTGGTAATATACCACCCTGTACAAGGCCAACATTTGACACCCACCCCCCAGCTCTTGTGGTGCTGGCTTAAGCCAGGCTTTGGGAAGGAGGTGTGAGGCTCTGGCTGGGTTCTAGAGCCCTCCCACCTGCTTCCCAAAGCCTGGTCATTGTTTGCCTGTCTTTGGGAAGGAGGAATCTCAGACCCTGTCAGAGCCCTCATGCTTCCTTCCCAAAGTTGGGGAAGTGCTTAGTGGGCTTTGAGAAGGCCCCTCCCTTGCCTGTGCATCCATCAAGGCTGTTCTTACATTTGGCTTACTTGTTTTGTAGATTGGGTTGTGATAAGCAGGGCCTGTGCAGGAAATGTGTTGTCTTGTTCAGATCTCCCAATCCTCTAGAGCAGATTTTGAGGGTGTGCCAGGGGGCTGCAGGGGTGAAAAGAGGAGGGGAAGTTCTGTTGCTGAAGTTGAGGTCTGCCACACTAGCAGAACAACAGCGTTAGATATGACCCTTAATTCTCCATTGGATTGAACTGTAAGAAGATTATGCGAAAGGCTTCCTAGAAGGGGTAGATTTTGAACTGGGATTGGAAAGAACAAACACTTTCTCTCTCTCTCAAATAATATATTTGTTTTTCTTTTCATAGTTAACTGGGAGACCGTTTGGAGGGCCAACACTACCAAGAAATTTGCAATCCACAAAATGAACTTTGATCAACATGTTGGCCTACTGAGAATCTTCCCGGGGATCACTGCTGAAGCGGTCAGCTTTCCTCCGTCTGAGAGCATAATGAGAAGAAAAGCTATGATGACACTCATGTGTAGGAGTGTTGATTGCATATAATGAGCAATAAGAAAAGGCGATGGCATTGCTGAGCCACTCCCACAAGGCCGCTGTGCCACTGCTTTTCTCAGAGCTGGTTGCATGTAGTCAACAATCCCACAATACGTGTTCGGATGTGAGAAAGAAGCATCATAGAATACTGTCATGTCCAAAAGTATTCTATGGCGCCTTTGGAGAATGCAATCAAAGATTTTAAAAAACCCAATCTCTTGTTATGCTTTTGAATGTTGCATGTTTGAGAAGCGGGGATGTGCATCATTTTGATCATTTTCAGGCTGTTGAGATCGGGAAGGGGCAATTTGCAGGGGAGAAGTAGCAGAGGCGGTTCATTTGTGGAGTTCCAAACCTGTCTTTATCTTAGAAATGTGGGTGTGAGATCCAAATGTGAGAGGAGGCACAGTTCGTTGGAGAAGAATTGTAGAGGGAAAGTTGAAAGCTGGATGAAGTGCTATGATTCTGCATAATTAGAATGGACAGGTTACTTGCATCCTTCTGCCCCCCCCAATTTTGGCTCCCTGTGCTAATCAAGTTGTCCATCCCCTGTATAACCAACCACTGTCTATTCATCTTGCTGTTGTACTGCCTATAGTATATACTGACATTACTTGTCCCCACCCTGTACCCCCTACAGTTATGTCTATGTATACAGTGAAGCTGTTTTGTAAATGTTTTGAACACCTCACTCTCAAACCTATTTATATAGCACTTTTGCTTATGAGGACTTGTGATTATCCATACATTTTGGATAGGCCATGAAAATAATCAAAGTTCGTACAGCATGCCAGCAGTCAACCTAATAAGAATCTGAACTCCATATTTAAAATATTTGATCAATCTTTCCTTGCATTAAAAAAGATAGTATTGTGTAGAAAAGACCATATTTCAATCTAGGTAAACACTTTTGAGCTGTATATATATTTTTCTTTCATGCAGGTGAAGGGGTTTCTTCAAAGCCCAATAAAAGGGATTGTGCTTGAGACCTATGGGAGTGGGAATGCCCCCAATAATTGCCCTGCTTTGTTGGAAGAGTTGCAGAAAGCAACCGAGCGTGGTGTGGTGATTCTGAATTGCACCCAGTGTCTGCGAGGAAGTGTTTCTTTAGTCTATGAAACAGGAAAGGTGAGACAAATTCTATTCTTTAAATCAGCTTTCCCAAAACTGGTGCCCTCCAAATGCTCGGACTGCAACTCCCATCATCCCTGACCATTGGCTTGCTCACTGTGATTGATGTGAGTTGTGATCCAGAACAGCTTGGGGAAGGCTGTTTTGAGCTATGCCATTGCATTCAGGGTCGCTCAATTTTGGGTTGGGAAGGAATGTTCATCCAGGTAAGACTAAAAATGAAGTTTTTGGCAGGTGAGAGGGGGTGGAGGCAGTGGCTGCTGTTTGTGGTATTTTTTTATACCATTTGGCTTTCTTCAGTGCACCTGTTGTCTTACTTGTGGCATTTTGTCTTCTGGGTTATGCAGAGCAATCTGTATGGAGGCTGGTGGGTGGCCTTTATATTGTGGTGTTTGTGTGTTGGCCTTTAGATCCCAGTGCTGTGACATAAAGGTATGAGATATATTGATAGAATTAGTAGGAACTAAAGAACTTTGGTCAGGAGACACCATTGGTCAATTAGTCTCTCCCAATCCCCACCCAAAGGAAGACTTGCGTCCAGCAGTCCATGTCACCACCACTAGAGCAGCCAATGTTACTGGAAAGAACTGAATAGGTTCTAGTGCAGAACTCAAAAGCTAGTGTAGACATCTTGGATCAAACTGTCTCTCACATGAATTTCCTTGGTGGACTTTTGCAAAGCTCCCCTACCTCAGTCCTGTTTTGATTTGTCATCTTGATTCAAAGTGGCACCTGACAACCAAGAATTGGCAGAGGTTGCTGCTGCCACCTTGGGAACCCTCATGCCGAGTTTGGCAACAATATCTTAAGAGACAACCAAACCTATGCCCCCAAATGGGCAAAGTCATGCAAAAGTGATGTTCTGGACAGCCATCTTGATTCAAAATGGCACACGGTGTCCAAACAGTGATGAAGTCTACTGCCCCTAACTCAGGAACCCTTGTGCTGAGTTTTGGCAATGATAACTCAAGACGTGGCCAAACCTATGTCCCAAAATGGACAAAGTCACACCAAAGTCATGTTTCACTCTGCCATTTTGATTCAAAATGGCGGCCTGCCTCAAAATGTTGATGATGACTACTTCCCCACCTCAGGGTTTGGCAATGATACACCGAGAGGTGAACAAACCTATAGAGAACAGATGGAAAAACAAACAGACAAACCACTTTCCATACCATAATATATCATAGATAAAAGAACTTTTGAGCCTTGTCGGATATTCATTCATCCCCCTGCCTTCACTCTCTCCATACTTCCTCCCAGTGATCACACTTATATGATATATTGTGGTTACTTTGATAGTTTCTCACTAGATGCTCTGGTGTGTCCACCCTGCCTTGAAATCCCAAACAAGGACAAGACTGCGCAGGAAAGTAGGAAGGTTCCCTTTAGTAAAACCCGTGGGGATCATTGATTCAGAAAATCTGCTGCTTTTCCAGTATGGAATGGCAGAGTACTGGCTAGACTCAAAACCTTTACTTTTTATTTTTATTTTTAAATTTTTATCTGTCCAAGCCCTCATCAAGACTTTTCATTCCTGTGTCACTCCTAGATGCATGATCAGTTGTAATGGATATTTCCCAGCTTTTTCTATGTTGACAACTTCTGGATACATTTGGTAGTTATATGCCTAGCATATACAAGATGATGGTGTCTCTATCTGATTATGGTTGTGTCATTTTGAAGGGTGTGTGTGCCTGGAACTGGGGACCACCAGAGTGATGAATGAATCAGAGGTTTTCAATATGAAGATGGTTAAGAAATCCCCACACACATCTTTAGATACTCACCCCTCCCAAAGACTTGATAGTAAACTGAGCAAATCTCGATGGGATATTTCCCAAAGGTTCAAAGTGGGTGGCAGAATTAAAAGCCCCACCTTGATATGATTAGATGAGTTAGAGATAAATCAAATTTTAAGTGGTGGTGCCAAGTGGGCTGGGTCATGTCTGGCATTGGAGTTTTTTATTGCTATTTTTAATGCTGTTTTGTTTTCTGTTTTGCCCCAAAGTTAACCAAGCCCTTCCCCCAGTCTACTACTTGTAAGTTAGGCTTGCAATCTACCACTTTCAGTGCCAAGTACAAAGCTAGACCTGTTGTTTCCCTTTCCCACTTAATTAAAAGGCCTGGTTAATGTGCACATATTGGTAATTATTATTTCATCATATTATACTGCTGAACTGCTTGATATTTTTTAAACTGGCTTGGCTTTCCTAGAAATGTTTTAGCTAAGAGGTTTGCTCTAGGAAAATTGTTGAATCTGCCACTGCAATAATGAAAAAAGAAATAATGTAAGAACTGTTAAAGAGATGTCTTCAGTGCAGTTTGAAGTCGTTCCCTCTGGAAATGTGAAACTGGCCTATGGGAGCAACTGCAAACACACTGATCTAATCTAATATGTGTACTCTGGAGATTACAGGTGAAGAGGCTTGCTTTCAGAGCTCCCCAGGATGTCTGTGGCAGCTCAAGAAACTCAGTTCTGGACTCTGTACCAGAGCATGCCTGTTCCAGATACGGGTATCAACTACTGAGGAACATGCAGAGGACCAGTTCACACATTACAGCAGTCAGCCCAGTTTTACCATTGGGTTTACATTAAACAAAGAGCAACAGCCAATGTCAGCTACCTGACAATTACACCTGTGCGATATAAACATTTTTCACATTCCCACTATTTTTAGGTATGTTTTTAATTTAAAACATACTAGGTTTGTGGCTAAGACAGGTAACCGTTCAAGAAAGAATTAGAATTAACTTGGATCCCCTTATTTGATGAATGTAAGAACTCTTGTACATTTAGCACTGAAAACAATAAACATGTGATTCTGTGAGCTAACTTGGATGGCTTTAAAAGAAGATTAGACAAATTCAGGGAGGAGAGGACCGTTAATGGCTACTAGCCATGATGCCTATGCTCTACCTCAGGCATGGCCAAACTCGGCCCTCCAGATGTTTTTGGGACTACAATTCCCATCATCCCTGACCACTGGTCCTGTTAACTAGGGATGATGGGAGTTGGAGGCAGTTAATGATTTCTGAATACCAGCTGCTGGATCCAACAAGCTTTCATTTATTCTTATGGGAGCAAGATAGTATCAGTGACCACAAACAAAGCACTTTATTATCCATCTGGGCAGCATTACAATCTAATATAAAAGGAACAAAAAGATTAAATTATCTGACTTGCAGTAACAGATTTTACCTCTGAGAACCTCATATACTTGCAGCACTCAGCACTTTGTAAATAATAACAGATAATTATTAGAATAATTATGGGATGTATGCAGTTGTGGTTTTACACCGGCAGAAAGCACTTCTACTCAGACAAGACTCTGGTGACCTGCTTTGCGCATACCACTGCAACCCCCTGCTCCTGGTCCCCCCAACCCTAAGCAGAAAATTGCAATATCTCACCGGGCACTGCCACGCAACCCAGGTAAGGGAGGCAGCGGTGGCGGCGGCAGCAGCAGGTTGCCATTTCATGTTCCCATTCTGCTTCCGGTGGTGAAACTGGACACATCAGAATTATGGGATATGATGCAGAGGTATAGAGAGTAAAGGGAAACTGGGTACCCTTCCCTGTACTAGTGGATACCATTTTTCAATATGCATACCTTACAAAACAGCACACTCATCAAACCACCTTTTCTTCATTGACTACAGACCCTTATGGACGCAGGTGTAATTCCAGGAGGAGATATGACACCCGAAGCTGCTCTTACCAAGCTGGCCTATGTCCTGAGCAAACCTGGTACCTTGGCCGAGAAGAGAGAGGTAAAATATCTTTGACTTCTGATTTTTTTTTTTTAAAGTCTAGTAGTCCTTTTCTCAAGTTGTGGCTTTCTGAGCTTTCCTTCCCCTTGACACACATAGGCCTGGACTAGGTGGGCCTTTGGTCTGGTTAATCCTAGTATTGCTGAGTTGGAAAGGGACCTCAAGGATCATGTAGTCCAACTCTCTGCAATGCAGGAATCTCAGCTAGAGCATCCCTGACAGATGGCCATCCAACCTCTGGTTAAGAGGGGGGTTTCTTTTGGTCAGAGCCCACAAACTTCCCACTCCATCCCAACTAGGTTCAAAGGACTGCTGTCTACATGAAACTGCAAAAGATGAAACTGCAAAAATTAAACATATATAAATAGTTTGTGCCCTGCTTGCTTATTTTTATACGTCACAATAACCGGGGACTGAACTGCAGCTGAAGAACCATCACATCTAGTTCATGGCGAGGGGAGGGAGAGAAACCGCTTGTTGTTCTGCCATATGGGGGAATGCCCCTGTACAGCAAATCAGAGTCTCACCTCCCATGGAAAAGATCAGTGAAACGCTCCCACACCTACAGTGTTTTCTTTCACTACTTTTCTTTTTAAGACATGCCTAAACAATGCTAAAGTTGAGGGCAGCCTTCCTTCCCACAACACTCCTTTCTTTAACTTTGCACAGCCATGTTTCCAGATAGTTATCACAGTCATCTATATTCCCAGACTCTCTCTTTTTCTCTGTAATTATGAAGCAATTCTACATTGCAGAAGAGCTAGGCCACAATTCAATGAAATCATTTATGTGCACACAAGTGCTACAGTTCTTCAATTATTTTTTTAATTTCTGGAAGCTCTTCTCTTGCATAGCATCAGAACTTTTTTCTGCCCTCTCCTCTCCCAAATATCCCAGAAAATTGTAGTTCTGTGAGGGGAGGACTAGGGGGTCTCAAACAGTTCATCCTCAGCAGCCTAATCAAATACATGGATTCTTTGGGGATCTTCAACAACTGCTCATACCCTTTCCCAACTTCACAGTATCCAATCTCTAATATGACTTCTAGGCTGGGTAATTGAAGTCCCATGGCCTTATGGGGTATTGTAACAAAACCTCTGTGTGTGTGTGTGCATAGTGTTGGTTTGGCTGAAGGGACTTACATATCACATGCTAGTATATATATGTAGAGACCTCCTAAGGCAGCAGGAAGGACTTACAGTGGTACCTTGGGTTACATACGCTTCAGGTTACACACTCCGCTAACCCAGAAATAGTGCTTCAGGTTAAGAACTTTGCTTCAGGATAAGAACAGAAATCGGGCTCCAGCGGCACGGCGGCAGCAGGAGGCCCCATTAGCTAAAGTGGTGCTTCAGGTTAAGCACAGTTTCAGGTTAAGAACGGACCTCCGGAACAAATTAAGTACTTAACCCAAGGTACCACTGTACTTTCTAGAGGTTTTCCAATCCCACTTCAAACATTTTAGAAAAGAATCCAGCATTTTGAAGTTATTTTTACATGATCCAAGGACCTGGTTCTCATGTCACATTAAACCGGGCTCACGGTTAAAGTTGCATACATTATGTCTTTGTTTCACTTTTACTATATCTGAGATCTTTTTAATTACCAGCCTGTCTTCTACACTGGAAAATTATTTAAGGTGAAGACTGTCAATTATGCAGATGGACAGCCAAAGGTGTAGAGGTTGGGAGCAGGACCTGCTGCTACAATCCTTCCCCTCCAAACCAAAGACGCACACGCATTCACCTCTGACTTGGTTCCCAACCTGCTCACTTCCTTCTTTTCCCCCCTTAAGATGGTGAAGGAGAATCTGAGAGGAGAGATGACTGTTGTGCCCATTGGAACCCAGATCACCCTCAAAGATAGCAAGTTTATTCAAGAGATTGCAAAATACCTGTTTATCAGCTGCAAGGAGGTACTTGCTCAAATGACACCTGTTAAAGCAAAAAACCCATTGCATAATAAGTAGCACCTGGGACCATCTAATAAAGCTGATTGTTGGAAGCTACAGGACAGACAGAAGAAAGAAATACTTCTTTAAAAGAGGTTTTGACTAAGTAATGGAGGATGTTAAGGCTGTCATTGGCTACTTGTCATGATGACTGTGCTCTGCCTTCATTGTTGGATGCAAGATGGTTCTAAATAGTGTTTTGGGGAATCACAAGTGGGAAGAGTACTATTGCCCGTATGTCCGGCTTGCAGGCTTCCCATAGGCATTTGGGCAAGATGCTGGGCTAGATAGCCTTTGACCTGCTCCAGCACGACTCTTCTTATGTTCCTTATTTAAAAAAAAGACAGCAAAGGGGATTGTTGAGTATAGAATGCTGGACATTTATGCACTTTGTACGATAAATTTCCTGGGAGCACAAAGCACTTTAAAGCAACTTCAGCCCCCTTCCCTCAACAATTCATGCACCCTGGATTGCTTTGTATCAGAACTGAAGAGCAGACGCGCTTCACAAGGTCCATGCAGAACAAGCATCTGTAGATAACTTCACACAAGCAAGCCACGCTATTATATCCAGGCACGATGGGGTGGGATTATGGGAAATGTGTGGATGTGTGTTAAACTAGGCTATTTTTAATTTCTCAGGAGCTAGCAGCTGTTAGAGATGCTTTGACTCCTCCTTTGGCTTGCGCAGCGGCAAAAAATGGTGACATCGATGCCCTAAAAGCCTTACAGAATATGGTAAGACCCTCTTTTTTATAGTGTATTTCATATGATCATTTGCGCCCTGAACAGGAGAAAGCCTCACAGGCTATGGTCATCTCAAATGCATTTTTGTTTTGGGTGCATATATAACTCTATGACATTCAGGCTCTATAGTTATGAGGGGAAAATTAAAAACCCAGGGTAGTCTTTCAGCAGGGAAAAACCATTACCATAGATTAGAGCTAGAGTCAGAACAGAATGACTGCTGGCCTTTGTATTTCCAAAGGGGAAGCAACCATCGCTTATGATATCAGGATTGTGGTTTTTTTTTTTTAAAAAAAAACAGTCTAGTCCTTTTATTTGTTCAGAAGCAGGTCCTGTACCAATCAATGAGGTTTACATGCCCTTAGGTGTGCAGCCTAAGCCTGCATAATACCTTCTTCACTAAACATGACAAATGAATTATATTCTTATACTGACTGCTCCTGTAGATCTGATACTGTGGTGCTGTATGTTTTTGTGCCTCCCCAAATTTGTCCATTTATTTATTTTTAATAATAACGTAAGGGTGGTATTCAACTTTTACTTAAAGGAAGTCCATTGAAATTAAAGTTAGATCCATTGATTTCATTGGATCTGTTCTGAGTAAAAGGTAGTTGAATACCACCCCAATTTTTATAACTAACTGGAAGGAATTCAACATCACATGCTTCCGATTGGGCAAGCATTTTGAGTTGCAAGATGGAACGATTTCCTCTTCCCCTGCTGCTGTTCAGTGGCTTCTCTTGACCTCCCCAAGCCAATGGGGGGGGGGGAGCACAGGGGGAGGAAGGGGCTGTTGCCCTGTTGGGTGAATGGAATTCCTTGTGCAGGGCTTCTACTGATGAGACTATTTAGTTGAATCCTGCCCCCCCCCTTTTACTGACTTCTCCAATAAGTACTGTGGTGCCAATGGTTTTTGTGTGTGGCTACCACTCCCTGCCCAAATTTGCCTGTTAAAAACAATTAATTAAAAAATAGGGGGTTTTTTTTGCCATTCCTGTGGGTCACCTGCCATAACTCTGTGATGGCGAAAGCTTTTGTGATTCTTCCAAGACCCTCAAAATGCAGCCGCAGCCATTTTTACACTGCAGCCGTACCTTGCAGCCTCTGAAGGGTTGATGATGGGTCAATGTGGCTCTCATACTGAAAAGGTTAGCCATCCCCGTTATAAGGTCCCTGATGGGGGCTTTTCAACCTGATCATGGCTGTGTGCCTCAGCTGTCCTGGATTGGCCCACAGAAAGAAGCCTCAAGAGAGTGTTCTCCATTAATTCAAGAGTTCATATTAAAAATAGTAAGAAAGCCAGTTTCTTGGCTGGGAAACTGGGAAACTGGGAAATAATAAACTGGGCATGTTGCTGAGACCTTCGTTAGATGGATGAATTATTTTATTTATATACACTCCTTTAAATAAACTTGTCACAGGGTGGCAACTTGAGCTCCGAGGATTATGATGGTCGCACACCTCTTCATGTTGCATCTTGTGAAGGTAATTTGGAGATAGTCAAACATCTGCTGAAGTCTGGGGCAACTGTCTACGCTAAAGACCGATTTGGAGCTACTCCACTGCTGAATGCCATAAAGTTCAGGTATTTTATTTCTTAAGTGCAATTTACAGTGCTTTTTTTTCTTAAAAAAATGTTTAGGGGTACTCTCATTCCATCTGAGATTTAGGAAACACCATGACAGGAAATGAGGCCGCCATCGGGGGTAGCAACGGAACTGACGATTCACCATGCTATTCAATGGAACTGACGATTCACCGTGCTAGAAAAGAAACAATTTTTTAAAAAAATATTTTAGTTTCTTCTCCCATTAGATTCACCTCTGCGTACCCCCCAGAAAAAAAGCACTGGCAATCAGAAAACCCCAAAAGCCCAGAAATGGGCCATCCCAAGGGTGGATTGGGGATGAGCCAGCCTGGGATCCAGCTGCCCTCACAGCTGGCAGCGGCTGGCATTGGGATTGGAGGCTGACGTTGGCACAGGCATCAGGCCCAATCTGCTTCCCTCTGCAGCTGCTGTGGCTGGTCAGGCTGCAGATGTGGCAGTAACTCTTTTGTTGAGCAGCTGCAGCTGCAGCAGCAAGCAGTTTAGATTACTTTGCCCGAGTAGACCTGTACCTGTGGGTGTTGTGAACAGGAAGAAGTGCCTCACACTTCCCCTTCCTCTGTAGCACTGCCTTTTCCAGAATAATTTTTTGTATCTGCCCTGTCCTGGGGGTGCATAGGGTGTCCTTGCACCTGGAACATGCTTATATCTCAGGAAATAAAGATAGAAGCACGTCCAATGGGACAGTGTTGTGAACGAACAGGAAGCGTGAAGTACTTCCTGTTGCACTTGACAACCTTGGAACATCCAAATCTGTTCTTGGTTGGAGGAAAACCTCTGACCATTGAGTAGGCTAAATATCTCTTTTGCTGAATGTCTGTCAGGGTTAAAAATACTACTATGTTCCTGAAAATATGTTGAACGTATATAAAAATGTTTATATGTGTGGTATTTACTTTTTAGTATCATATGCAGACTACAGTTATTCTCTTCTTTCAAGATGCCTCTTTCAGGCTTTCCTGGAAATATTTTAGAAAAATGCAAGTAGTATCTTTAAATATAGGACCTCTCTTGGGGGCTTTGAGTGGCTCACTGCACTCTGCTCATCTTCTGTCCCTTTCCATGTCCCCCAGAACCTGTTCCCCAATCCTTTCTCTAGTATATCCTATGCATTTTATTCTCCTTCTCCTAATTCTTGCAAGAAGTTTAAAATTCTGCAGATACACACATCTATGAGAATCAGTTATGAGAAATAACTACATCTTTGCAAACTTTACTTGCTACACAGATATGCAAAGTGTTTGGAGGAAATCTAAAAGCTCACTCATAAGCTTGCTAGCCTAAAATGTAGCTATTTATTATCAGTTGCATATTCCCCATAACTACAGCATTCATAGGAAGCAAACTTTTCTCCTTAAGAGTCCTTTAAGCAGTCTTTGGTGCCATAGTAGTTCTTCTGGCCAGGTCTCCACACTCTTGACATGTATTTTGCATTGCAGATGGGTCATTAACAGTGCAAACCTATACAACCTATGAAGCAAGTACCTTTGAATTCAGTCCTATACACCCAGGTAATAGGATGTATAGAATTGCAACCAAAGTCAGTTGGCATGCTTTCTTAATAGGCGTTATGACAATCTTGTTAGCTAGCCAAGCTGTTCAGATACAGGAAAATTTGCCAAGAATCTCTTAAAATTCTCTAGGAGCAAGTTAAACAGACTTACTGCTGAACAGAGATGGCCCTTGTCCCGCACACCTATGCAAAATATTCCTGCAAACAGCTCTCTCTCTCTCTCTCTCTCTCTCTCTCTCTCTCTCTCTCTCTCTCTGTGTGTGTGTGTGTGTGTGTGTGTGTGTGGTTAAACCACACCCAGTCACTGCCTGAGGAATTTCACATAAGTTTGTTATTCAAATTCTTAAGCTTTACCACTCCCATAAGAAACTCCTACTGGGGACTCTTGATCTTTTTAAAGCTGCTGAAAGGCAGGTTGGAAGAGAATGAAGCCGGGTTTTAGTTCAAGCTTATGCTGCTGTCAGGTTGAGAGAAGGACCTGAATCATTTGTCAGTTTGCAGAGACTGTAATGATAGCTTCAGGCCTACTCTGCCAGCAAACTTTACTGCTAAGCTTAAGGTGGAATTGGATGGTTGAAAACCTATAGAATCAGTTAGATGCTACTTTTCCAGTTGGAAATAGATTGTGGAATTAATTGTACAAAAAAGGGGAAATCAAGCTTTAATAATATTTTAACACTTACCAAATACAAGTACATATAACTGGAGGTGCAGTATGCAATAGTGGAGGAAGAAACTTGGTGGTTATTGCAATCCAGCTCTCTCTCCTGAAGCAATACCCGCTTATATGTAAATATTCCAAACATGATATGGAGCCAGTTAGATTAAAAAAAATAAGCCCTGGCTATATTGTAATGTCCGAGATACTGCTTTTCTCCAAGGCACTGTAGTATTCTTTGCCTCTAATATGACACCATCCATATAGCTGTAGTGATAACTACAAAGTTGCTCTCAAAGTATTTACTCTCTGAAGCCCTAGAGCAATCAGTTCTGAAGCATATCTTGAAGTATTTATATAAACAGTCCCGTGGAATGAAGTAAGTGCATTTTCCCACAAACAATTTCTTAGTGTCCTGATGAGATCTGACAGCAGTTTAGGAACAACTGCATCCAACTGGAAGCATGGCAGTGGAACCAATTCAGAAGAAGATATTTAACAGTATATAATGCCAAAGGCCAGTTCACAAAGTTTGAAATGTTGGAACAATGTATGCATGGTACAGTGCAGGCTTGCAAATGTGTGCTATTGCATTTTGTTGTTGTTGTTGTTGTTGTTTAGTCGTTTAGTCGTGTCCAACTCTTCGTGACCCCATGGACCAGAGCACGCCAGGCACCTCTGTCCTCCACTACTTCCCGCAGTTTGGTCAGACTCATGCTGGTAACCTTGAAAACACTATCCAACCATCTCGTCCTCTGTCGCCCCCTTCTCCTTGTGCCCTCCATCTTTCCCAGCATCAGTGTCTTCTCCAGGGAGTCTTCTCTTCTCATGAGGTGGCCAAAGTACTGGAGCCTCAGCTTCACGATCTGTCCTTCCAGTGAGCACTCAGGGCTGATTTCCTTCAGAATGGATGCGTTTGATCTTCTTGCAGTCCATGGGACTCTCAAGAGTCTTCTCCAGCACCATAATTCAAAAGCATCAATTCTTCGGCGATCAGCCTTCTTTATGGTCCAGCTCTCACTTCCATACATCACTACTGGGAAAACCATGGCTTTAACTATACAGACCTTTGTTGGCAAGGTGACGTCTCTACTTCTCAAGATGCTGTCTAGGCCTGTCATTGCCCTTCTCCCAAGAAGGAGGCGTCTTTTAATTTCGTGGCTGCTATTGCATTTTATTTATATATATATAAATAAACCACAAACCATTTCCTCACAACAAATGAAAAAAGTGGAAAGATTGTGGGAACTAAGTTTATACCTGAGACATATTATGGGGTGTGGGGTTATGCGTAAGAGGCAGCATGCACAGGCATGGGACATGCAGTGTTGCAATCTTTCCAGATTTCCAACTGAGGAATGAGAGCCCTATCTTGTCTTGGCTCTTTACAATCCTAGTCCTCGAAGACTCTGATATGTTATGTGGTGCGTCCACCTTTTGAAGTTTGTTCTGTCTGGGGCGTGATAGGTCAGTTCATTGCTTTTGCAGGAGAACCAAGGAGCCAAAGGAATGAAGCCATTCAGGTTTTGGAGTGGGTTATAGCAGCTGCATTTCTTTAAGTGGTAGGTGGGAAATGTGCTTGTGACCCCCCCCCCCCAATCTCTGTAATGCGTCACTCAGATTCTTCAGGCCCAGTGCAGGTGGGGCCATGAAAAACCATTTAAAAGCATTTGCTGGATTAAAAGATGTTGGTCTTAGGAAGTCTTATGCCCTCCGATTCTGATCATACCATAATAACTAGAATCATGCTTAACTAGAATCATGCTTAGCAAGTATAGAGTGCTTTCCACCTTCGCCGCATCAAGCAGTTGGTCCCTTACCTTTCCCGCTCCGACCTGGCCACAGTGATCCATGCGACGGTCACCTTCAGGCTTGACTACTGTAATTCGCTCTATGCGGGGCTGCCCTTGAAGCTGTCCCAGAAACTCCAGCGGGTGCAGAATGCTGCAGCGAGGCTCCTCACGGGGTCTCTGCCATGGGAGCATATTCACCCAGTGCTTTTCCAGCTGCACTGGCTCCCGGTGGAGTACAGGGTCAGGTTCAAGGTGCTGGTTTTGACCTTTAAAGCCCTTCACGGCCTAGGACCCTCGTACCTACGGGAATGCCTCTCCTGGTATGCCCCACGGAGGACCTTAAGGTCCATAAATAGCAACACCCTAGTGGTCCTGGGCCCTAAGGAAGTTAGATTAGCTTCAACCAGAGCCAGGGCCCTTTTCAACACTGGCTCCGGCCTGGTGGAACGCTCTGTCTCATGAGACCAGGGCCCTGCGGGATCTGATTTCTTTCCGCAGGGCCTGTAAGACAGAGTTGTTCCGCCTGGCCTTTGGCTTGGAGCCAATTTGATTCCCTCCCCCTCTTTCTTTTTTCCTTTCTCCTCCTGTGATGAGGCTGCATTTTAATGTTTTAATGTTGTATTTTAATCTTGTTTTTAAGTTTTATTCATTCAACTTTTTTATTATTGGTTGTTAGCCGCCCTGAGCCTGGCCTTGGCTGGGGAGGGCAGGGTATAAATAAAATTATTATTATTATTATTATTATTATTATTATTATTATTATTATTATTAGTAGAGTGGTTCCTGGTTCAATTCCCTGGCATCTCCAGTTAGAACATAAGTAGAGCCCGCTGCACCAGGTATGTGGTCCATCTAGTTCAGCATCCTGTTCTCACAGTGGCCATGGGAATCCCACAAGCAAGACCTGTGTGCAATAGCACTCTCCCCTCCAGCTTTCAGAAAGTGGTATTCTGGAGCATACTGCCTCTGATTGCAGATAGTAAGACTGAGAGAGACCTCTGCCAGAAACCTTGGAAAGCTGCTGCCTGAAAGTCGACAGTAGTGGGCTTGATAGGCCGATGGTCTGATTTGGTATAAAGCAGTTCCATATGTGCATAGGTAGGCCAGTCTTTATTTATTAGCTCTCACTCTTCTCAGAGTTGTTTCCTCCAACCTCCCATCCAGGCACTAAGCCAGAGTATTCGCCATTGGCATAAGCTTAGGAGTTTCCAGACCAGTCACTTGCAATCTCATATCACAGCTGAAAAGTTGAGGCTGGGAATATCTTGAAATTTTGATTGAGGTAATCCAGAACAAGCTAACTGCGCTTAAGTCTGAGTTAAATCATTGGGGTGGGTTAAATAAGCTCTAGGGACGCGGGTGGCGCTGTGGGTAAAAGCCTCAGTGCCTAGGGCTTGCCGATCGAAAGGTCGGCGGTTCGAATCCCCGTGGCGGGGTGCGCTCCCGCTGCTCGGTCCCAGCGCCTGCCAACCTAGCAGTTCGAAAGCACCCCCGGGTGCAAGTAGATAAATAGGGACCGCTTACTAGCGGGAAGGTAAACGGCGTTTCCGTGTGCGGCTCTGGCTCGCCAGAGCAGCAATGTCACACTGGCCACGTGACCCAGAAGTGTCTGCGGACAGCGCTGGCCCCCGGCCTCTTGAGTGAGATGGGCACACAACCCTAGAGTCTGTCAAGACTGGCCCGTACGGGCAGGGGTACCTTTACCTTTTACCTAAATAAGCTCTATTATTTTAAAAAGGCTCCTAGCATTTATGTCATAAATGCTAACTGGCTGCCATTTGTTTTCAGGTTCAATTCATAGTGCTCATTTTGGCTTAGGAAGCCTGATGTAGCCCAGGACCACAATACAATGAAGGTTAGCTCCTTAATAATAATAATAATAATAATAATAATAATAATAATAATAATAATAATTTATTATTATTTATACCCTGCCCATCTGGCTGAGTTTCCCCAGCCACTCTGGGCAGCTTACATTAGAACCTGCCTTGCCTTTATGATTGTCACCTGAGGCACTTCTCTCTGACTTTCTCCAAGAGAAGTGCAGAGTGTGCCAGCAAGGGGATAGGTCTTTTTAGTGGTAGCCCCCACCTCCTCTAATAATCTCCCCAAGGAGTTCTGCCTGGTGCCTATGTTATTAGCTTTTCAATGCCAGACTAGGACAGTTTTGTTCTCTTGGACTTTTTGTTCTTAAAGTGATGTGATTTTAGTCTGTTTTGGTGTTTATCTTTTAGTTGGATGGGCAATAATTATGTATGTATGTATGTATGTATGTATGTATGTATGTATAACCCTGCAGCTCAGAGCTGCTTGGGTTACGTTGCATTGTGGAACACAGCACTTGTTGCTACCTGAAAGGGAGAAAAATGTACTTGATGATGTTGCTGTGTCTCAAGAACCCTTGTGATGAAATATTTAAGATAACGAGCAATGAATGAGGTCTATAATTGCAGTAGCAGTTAATAATATATCTCATGGAATGAAGTATTGCGAAATCATTTCTTTCAGAGGAGGGAAATTGCTTGGTAGTATGATTTAATATTTATTTTCCACTTATCGACAGAAGCAAAAAGAAAAGAAGAAGAAAAAGACTTTTTGGAAAGTCTTATTCTTCATATGTGATAATCTTGGTCATATCTGCCAGCCCTTATGCAAGTTTGTATGTGTCATTTCCCTTGAAGTAAACAATAGGGAGCAGTTACCAGCTCACAGATCCTACATGCTACTTCTGAATTGCTTGGTTAGGCATCAGGGTAGTATAAAGCCTTTTTGCCTCTTGAAAAGTCTGAATGTGATATTGTAATGTGCTTACACACAGGCATAGGATATAACACAGTCATTGTGCAAGAGGATCCCTTGTTCTCTTTCCCCAGGGAGTTGGGCCCATCTTGTGTACTGGGCACAGCCATTGCTGACGATGATCCTGTTCTAGCACAGCCGCCACCAAATCTCTACATGGCTGCTCCACTGAGCAAAGGGCTGTTTTGATTGATAGGGAACCATGAAAAAGGGAATTAAGTTATGGTCAACTCTGTGTGTCCCATGTTTAAGACCACTGGCCCTCAAATCTGAGTGTTGGTGCAGCCATATGCCAGCTAGGAGTGTTGTAGCAAAGAGAGTTTCCCTTTCTTCTTCTTTTACTCCCTGAAAATGCCCACTTGACTCACAGACTGGGAAGAATTTTGTGAAGGGATAGCTATCTCCATCTTGATCTATGAGTTTTCCAGGGCCACCCTCTGCTGTAGACAGAGTGTTTGGAATTTAACACTTGATACAGCTAAATATTACACTTGGAGAAGATTTGGCACAGTTTGTGTTTACTTACGACTGAATGATGGGTTGCACTGACCACAAATTCACAAACATGCCTGAGTTTGATTGACAAGTAGGCATTGATACAAATCTTTCCTACATCATGTTATTTGTCATCAGTGTGACTTACAGGTCCCCTTCTGAAGAGAAAAATCAATATGGGAAATGGCTCTTAGATCCAGTTTATCAAAGAGTTGTTTCCATGTTAGCATGCTACAGATATTTCTATTAAGGTACTGGTGTGGTTAAAAATAAGTTCGTCTACTTTCTTAAAGGCACCACGATGTGATCTGCTTGCTACGCACAACGGGAGCTCACCTTTCAAGCCAAGAGCTCGTGAATGTTGGAACAGAACTCTGCAGGTATGAAAAAGTCATTTTTAAATGTCTTCAGATGACATTGCACTGTCTCTATAAACTAGTTGACACATGGAATGACATCACTTGATTTGTCCACACTCATTTACTGTACATTTGATGACCAGCAGCTGAATGAAGTGATTTGAAAGTTCTTTATTTATTACATTTATATCCCCACAACCAACCCTGTGAGGAAGGGCTAGGTTGAGAGGCACTGACTGGCCCAAAGTCACCCCATGAGCGTCAAGGCTGATTTGAGATTCAAACTCTGGTCTGGCAGGTCCTAGTCCTGCATTCTAACCACTACAGATTTTATATCTGTGATTGCCCATTCACACAATACATGCCATGTCATTGCTTACTACTGTAGTCATCAAGAGAATGACAGGTATGTAAACCAGGACTTTGTTCACCATTGTATAAAGGTGGCAGTGGAATGATTAAGGATAGTTGGATAACTATTAAAACTGGTTTGTAAGGGAATACAAATTTCAACCATTTCCAGTTTGGTTTTTGTCGTAAAATTTGGTTTGCAAAATGGTTGCTGTTTTACTTTTAAGGCTCTCAAGCATTGGAGTGTCAAATGTTTGCAGGAAAGTTAAAAGTTCAAGGGTAGATGTTTTGTTTAGGAAGTTTTGTACCAGACTTCCTAAGTTTTGTACCAGACATGAGGGTCAAAAGTTCATTCTAGGATTCTGGCAATTAAAGGGAAGTAATTGTTAACCAAACTCTCCTCATTTTGTGATTGACTGAAAGATTGAGAGGAAGGGGGAGTGAAAATATTGTATATAAGTCACAGTTAATCAGAATCAGGCTTGGAATCTGCTATGCCAAATTTTACACCTGCCAGGATTATTAAAGGAGGCAGTTAATCCACTCCCCTTATGTTTTTTTCACAAATAAATTGACCCTACTCTTAGCTTCTTCTGCCCTCTGAAGGACTTGTTAAACTGGTTGGCCATACAGAACAGCAAAATGCTTTGAGACTTTCAAGAACAACCAGGAAAAAAACACCACGTATGATGCAATTTTGTACCAAGGTGTTTTGTTAGCCCTGACTGGTTTTTCAGTTCATATATTTTGTTGTTTCTCCATGGCTTCTTTTAAAAATTAACTATTTTTAAAGATTGGAGTGGATTTTTTGAGCTCTTTGTTGACTAACCAGGTTTCATAGCACAGAAAAATATATAACACAAATATACCAATCCATTCTAAAAATGACTCTGAAAGTTCTTATTTGACCAGAGATTATGTTTGATCGACATCTCTGTTACTGTAACTGGTAAAAAATGAGGTGAGCCTTGACCCTTTCATATTTGGTTGCTGCCCCAAAGGGGGGGAAATGCAAGGGGCTGTTGGAGGGAGGGGGAAAGAAGCAACCAAATTCCCTTTTTCTTTCTATCTCTGCTCCCCCCCCCCCATATATCAAAATGCCAGTTAATGAAATCCAAGGATGCTTTCCTTCAAGCCTGTTATCATAGCCCATCTCCAGGCTAAAATGCTGTTCAATTCTGATCACAGCTGTCGGGAAAAATTATGATTCTGACAGAACTTTGACCATGCCTCTAATACCTGATTATCCTTCTGGAGAAATAAAATATGGAGTGGGGTTTTTATGATCTTAATCTGTCATCTGTCCCAGCGGTTACGGAGACTGCATAAAGAGGCATGGCCAGGCCGGCTAATAGGAACCGTATCCTTGAATGTGCTTGAGGCAGAATTATCTTCCTCTCACTCGAAATCACTACCCTGCTTATCAAGGCTCTTCACCAACAGAGAAGCATAATCTCTTCACTATCTGGGTGACACTTTTCAGCTATAAACATCTCAATCTCCCACAGAGGCTTAATATGCTCCTTGTGAGGAGTTCAGGTAAAAGGATATACAACAGCTTCAGGGCGGCAGTGGTGGTGGGGAGATAAGAAGAGGCGCCTTTGCCTCTTAGGATGGGCCTCTGCAGCTTGCAACCTACCACATCACCTGTCATGTATTGTGGTTTGCAAGGTGCTTGACAACCCATTCAATTTTGCATTATTAGATGGGCAGAACCCCTGCCCCCACCAATTTTTTTAGCCCTTGATGCTCATACTAGGCTTGAGAGCCAGTGTGGTATAGTGGTTAAGAGCGGTAGACTCGTAATCTGGTGAACCGGGTTCACGTCTCTGCTCCTCCACATGCAGCTGCTGGGTGACCTTGCACTAGTCACACTTCTTTGAAGTCTCTCAGCCTCACTCACCTCACAGAGTGTTTGTTGTGGGGGAGGAAGGGAAAGGAGAATGTTAGCCGCTTTGAGACTCCTTCGGGTAGTGATAAAGCGGGATATCAAATCCAAACTCCTCTTCTTCTTCTTCTTGAAGGCTGTGTTAGGCTTTGCAGGTCACAAGTTGCATAGTCATGTCTTACGATGTACATTTTGGAGGTCACAAGTTGCATAGTCATGTCTTACGATGCACATTTTGGAGAAAGTTGGATGCCAACACAATATTTCATAGAATCATAGCTGGAAGGGAGTCATCTAGTCCAACCCTCTGAAATATAGGAATCTTATCTAAAGCATTCAAGACAGATGGCCATCCAACCTCTGCTTAAAAACTTACACCAAGTCTACCACTTCCTGAGGTAGTCCATTCCTCTGCCGAATTGCTCTTACTATCAAAAAGCTCTTCCTGGTGTTTAACTGGAATCTCCTTTCTTGTAACTTGAAACCATTGGTTTGAGTCCTACTCTCCAGATCATGAGAAAACAAGCTTGATTCATGTGACTGCCCTTCTTGAAGATGGCTATTATATATCTCCTCCTCTTAGTCTCTTCTTATCCAGGCTAAATATCCACAGCTCCTTCAACTGTTCCTCATAAGGCTTGGTTTCCAGTCTGTTGGTTCCAGTCTTGGTTGCCCTCCTCTGCACACGTTCCGGCTTCTTAAATTGTGGTGCCCAGAATTGGACACAGTATTCCAGGTGTGATCTGAGGAAGGCAGAATAGAGTGGTACTATGACTTTCCTTGATCTGGACACTATACTTCTGTTGATGCAGCCTAGAATAGCATTAACCTTTTTTTTTTGCTGCTGCATCGCACTGTTGACTCATGTTAAGCTTGTGGTCCTCCAAGACCCCCAGATTCTTTTCACATGTACTGCTAGTAAGCCAGGTGTCCTGCATCTTATATTTGTGCAGCTGGTTCTTCTTGCCTAAGTGCAGAACCTTGCATTTGTCCCTATTGAAATACATTTTGTTAGTTTGCGCCCAGTTTTCCAATCTGTTAAGGTCATATTGAATCTCAATTTGGGTTGTGTCATTTGTGTGCGGCCTTTTGAATTACTTTTATTCATTTGGTGTTCTTAGACTAGAGACAGATGTGAGAGATTCCCATCCCTCCAACCGCCAAGAGGCTTGATGTTTCAGGTGATATAAATCACTCACTCTTGCTTTTGGTGTAGCACTGAACACTAACTAGGCTTCTACAGGCTTCCTACCCCTAGAATTTAGCCACTGAGCTACAATTTCTTACAAAATCTGGCTCCTATGTCTTTATTAGTGTTTTAATTAAATAAATTGGTTTCACTTACCCTCTCCTTGAACATCTGCTTAACTTGCCTTGACGTTTTGTTAGCTGGGACTCCCTTTAGCTTATGCCCCAAGAGCCTTTCCAGTTTTGGGAGATAGTTTCACAACTGGAGGGGGTGACTGCTGACAATGCCTGTCTGCCTTGCCTTGCCTTGCCTTGCCTTGCCAAGGCTGATCATAGTGATCAGAATGAAATGGAGAAGGGTGAAGTTTTTAAGGAGTCTATTGAACATTCAGCTTTATGAATTACACTGCAGAGATGCTAGCAGTGGTGCTGGTGGCTGGTGCTCATTGGGAACTGCTGGGGTGGAAGGCAGAAGTTCAGAGCCAACGGCAAGCAGAGGCAACCCCTGACTAACCATACTCAGTGAAAATCCACTGAAGTTAGTGGATATGATTAACTTAGGTTAATTAATTCCAGTGGGTCTACGCTGAGTAGAACTTGAGTTGAGTACAGCTCCAAGCTTTCGAGAGGACTTCAACATCCTGTTCTGTCGATCGTTCCATCAGGACAAACATTTCAGCTTGCCGGAAGGAATTATTCTTGCTCTCCTCCTGCCACACACTTCGGGGGGTTCTCCCAACACTCCCCTGAACCAATTTTTTTTTGGGGGGTGGTGTGCTAGCGGAGGAGAGGGGAAAGCCCTGTTGTGGAAGTGGAAGTCGTTGCACAGGCTTTCACTGATGGGGCTCACCCTTTTCCGTATTTGGTTGCAATTTTTGGTATTTTTTCTGTCCCTTTGCAACTGATGTGCCCATGCTTTCCTTACAGGCGCAAATGGAAGCATGGGAAGCAGGTTAAGAACACCAAATTGTCTTTTGAATGTGGACAAGAAAAAGTGCCTTCCTAACCCCCAACAGCTTTTTATCAAGTTGCATCTTAAAGGGGCTTACCATTCATGCCACTATCAGTTTGCTGGTGTGCCCTCTGAACTCAACCAGAGCTAAAAGCATTGTTTTTGTTTTGCCAGAAATATTGCTCCTTGCTATAAGAGGATCTTAGGCTTATGTATGAAACCAGCTTCATAAACTACATTCTCAACGTTTTACTTAGCGTTGTTTTAGTAACAAGTCTTTATTTTAATACATGAAATCCAGCTGAAGACTTATTCATTAGGCGCATTTATGAAACTTTCAACGTATTACTAATCTTGTGTATATCTAAGATGGTGGAAAAGACACGATTAGCGATGCAGCTGATGAAAGAGTTTTGCTTAATCTCCTGACTCATAATGAAGGAAAGGACTGGAATCTTAAAAGGCAATTTTCCCATGCAAGGAGCGTAATTAACCCAATATATGAATCGCGAAGAGAGTAGTTTGGCTAAATAAATGGCCAGCGCCAATCAATTCCATTCTTTTTAATTGCGATGTCTTCATTTGGTAGACATCAGGGAGGGCAATATCCCATTTAAATGTAAGTACAGTATCTCTATCTCTGTAGTGGGCAAAAGCCTTTATTTAAAAAAATGACACAAAGAATAAAAAAAATTGAAATAGAATTTGTTTAAAATGTGTATGTGGACACTAGATTGGTCTTTGGCCCTTGGCCTGATCCAGCTGGGCTTATTGACACCTCTTTTGCCCTCTAGGCTGGCATCCCTCAGAAGGCCAGGTTTGTCTGCGGAAGAGAAAGGCCTTCGAGCTGCTAACTCCTACTTTCCACCTTTCATGAAATTAAAGTTAACATGCTTTTGTAGCACATTTGCTGTTATGCTGCGTTCAGGCAGTGAATTCTAAAGTCCTTTTTAAAAATGAAAATGAAGCAATTTGAATGCCGTCTATCCCACTTAAACTGCATGTCATGAGCTGAATCTTGTGTTGTTGTGAAATATGAAACTGCCTGTGCCTTTTCCCCTTTGGTCATGGGCACACCCACTGGGTGAAACTGGCCTGTTGAAAGCTTCTTCCTGTACACTCCTATTCATTTATGCGCCTGATTCATCAACAGTGTTGCTAGCTCAGCTGTTTGGAGCTTTTGTAACCTTGTCCTGCTTCTTCTGGCAGCCATCCCCAGCCTTTTGTTTGTCATCCTTTTTGGAGGTACATTGTTGCCAGTGCACAGAATTGGATGCCATCAGCCCTAGCAAGCATGACCAATGGTTAGGGAGGATTGTAGTTGCATTTAAGCAACATCTGGAGGGCCACAGGTTCCTCAGGCCTGCTGTAGAGGTTTGAATGAGTTTCTAGGTCAATATTTTTTGGGCTAAATGTATTAAGAATTGTTAATGGGTCCTGGGAAGAGAAAGCTGGATCTCAAATCAGTTTCCCTACTCCATTTTGGAGTGGGAAACTGATGCTATGTAAAGCAAAGGTAGCCATGTTGGTTCACAAGGAGCCGACCTCAAAGTCACAAAATAGTGGCAAGCTTTCAAGCTATTGTTGTTGTTTAGTCATTTAGTCGTGTCCAACTCTTCGTGACCCCATGGACCAGAGCACGCCAGGCACTCCTGTCTTCCACTGCCTCCCGCAGTTTGGTCAAACTCATGTTTGTAACTTCAAGCTATACAGAACTGTTTATCAGGCAGAATGACGTTGGATGTTGTTGCCATAAATTCATCGTGGAAACTTTTGTTCTAAGAGTGAGATTGCAGATACTTTTTATACTTCTCCAAATCAAAACATCTTTGTCATTTCACATTAATGTCTCAGTCCTAAGCATGTTTTCTCAAATGTAAATGATATGGATTTAAAAGCAGGCGTGAGGAACCTCCTGCCTGTGGGTCAAACTAGACTTCAAAGTATATTTAGAATTGCAGTCTAAATTGAGATTTAAAATTTGTAATTAACTGTTGTTTCTGGTGCTGAACTTATTGAAAAATATTATTTGCCCCCTTGGTGATAAGCTACCTCCAACGGAGTTGTGGATAGAGAGAATCCTGTGTTTGAGATCGCTAGGCCCGTCTGCAGAACAACAGTCCCCTTTCAAAAGCCCCATTCCTTCACAAGTCATTTGGTTTGAAAGCCTTGGCATCAACACATGTTTGAATCTGTTTTAAATTTGGAAAGCAAATTGTACTGCTTTGAACATGGAAGATAAAATATATATTCTTCCCTCTCCCCATGCCAGTCTTGCTTTTAATGGAGATGTTGAAGGACTGCTGGCCTGGCATCTGGCTGGTGTGGATCTCAACCATCCTGGTTATGATGGGAGCACTCCATATGCCATGGTAAGTGTGTGATTACTGTAATATGTCAGCTGGACATGTTAAATCAAACACCTCTTCGGTTCTAAGGCAAATCTCCAAAGAGCCCCGCATCAAATACAACATTTCTGAAATGGCTTTGCACAGGATTCAGTGGAGCTGCAGGGGCAAGAGGGTCTGGAAGGCCTAGGTCAGCCTTCCCCAATCCAGTGTCCTCCAGGTGCTTTTGAATACAACACTCATGGCTCATGGCAGCTGCAGCCCAAAGTAAGAAGAAGAAGAGGAGTTTGGATTTGATATCCCGCCTTATCACTACCCTCAAAGGAGTCTCAAAGCGGCAAACATTCTCCTTTCCCTTCCTCCCCCACAACAAATACTCTGTGAGGTGAGTGGGGCTGAGAGACTTCAAAGAAGTGTGACTGGCCCAAGGTCACCCAGCAGCTGCATGTGGAGGAGCGGAGACACGAACCCGGTTCACCAGATTACGAGTCCACCGCTCTTAACCACTACACCACACTGACTCTCAGTCAGCAAAGCAACTGGAGAGCATCAGCCTAGAAAGCATGGGTCCAAGCAGTTTCCCCCCTTGCCTCGCTCTTTTCCAAGGGAGAACTCACTCTTTAGCAATGCATTGGAATAAATGGCAATTTGGTGAAAACCTGAATTGCCATTTGTTCCAAACAAGTGCATTTTCCCCCAGGGAAGAGCAGCAGGACAAGAGGAAGTGTTTATAAGCCCTTAGAGAAGTGCCTGGAATGAACTAATTCAGATTAATTAATTCATTGAATTAGTTCAAAATCTTTGAGATACATCAGGAACTAGAGGAGGAGACTCATGAAGTCTTTTCCAGATCTTTCCCCGCCCCCTTCATCTCTGCTGTCAGGAACTTAATGGGGGAAGCAGGGAGACTTGGAAAAGGCTTTGAGCAAACAGGAGCTCATGAGCTGTCTTAAAGGTTTTGCAAAAGCCTCTTTGAGGTAGCTTCCCTGAGCAAGCTTCTTCAAAGGGCGCTTTTGCACAGCCCTTTAATGATGAGCAGATGAGTGAGGATAAAATCCTGCTTCCTTGGGAAAAGGATTGCATAGCCAAGGCAGGATTAAACCCTGCCCTCCCACCCATCAGCTGATGTCAGCTGCTGTTGGTGGGTGAGTGTGGTCTGGGGGAAATGATATCATGTGCCAAATGGACTCCCTGGCAGGCCAAGATTGGCCTGCAGTCCAGAGGTTCTTCATCCCTGGTGTAAACAGAACCACAAGGGCATTCTCCAGTGCCTATGCTGATGTTTCGAAATGGCAGGGCCTCTAGGGAAATAACAGGGCCAGCAAGAAATAAAGTGTGCAACTGGGTGATTGCTCAGGGTTTTGTGCAAGTACCTGCTCAGCTTTTGTGCGTAGGGGAAAGGCCTCTGATTCTAATACTTCTAGATTGGTGCTAAATCACATAGACAGTAGGCTAGGGAGAAAGTTACTGTCTACTCATAGCTTTAATGGAATGAAAAATCTCAATTGAGTTTGTGTGGTACAGTATAGTTATTTATTTAGCTATCTGTTTTTTGAACTTCTAGTCTGCCAACTCAGCTGAAAGAACTCTCTAGTACACCATTTAAAAATTACATACAATGCAATAAAATACACATAAAGTCTCTTAATGGATAAACAACCATAAAAGTTAATAGAAAGCAAGGAAAACAGCAGAAATTAAAACCACTTGATTTCTAGGCTCAAAAAGAAAGAGACCTGTTTCTAGCGATCCATCTTCTAAACCACTGATCTCTTTTTCAAGCCATCTTCAGCACTCTGGAAATCATCCAACCTATCACTGTAAACCTGATGAAAGGAAAAGATTTCTATTATTTTCCTAAACTTTCCAATTGGCCAATCCTGGTGAACTTTTTCTTGGGAGAGGAATATGCCACCCCTGAAAAGGCCCTGTTAGTAGATTCCAGTTTGACCTCAGGTGTTGAAGAGATCTGAAACAGGGGCTTTTCACTGAAGTTTGAAGCATATAGACGATGCATATGGGAGCAGCATGTTTAGGTGCCTCTGTGTGATTTGTGCATGTGTATGAGCACCTATGTGCAGATGGCATAGCAGCACTTACTACTATCACAACCTTTTCTTGTAGGCAAGAGCTGCAAATCGTATGAAAGTCATGGAGTTTTTATGTCAGCTGGAGGCCTAATTTGGTAAGGCTTACGCTTTGAGAAACAACCACCACCAATGTTTGGCGGTGTGCATGTGGGTCATTCGCTCCATGAGGAATGTTTGGTTTGGGAAATGGACTGAGTTGGGACCACAGTCCTCTGGTTTGAGTTCATAGCAGCATATATCCATCTGTTTTATCATTACTTGGTGGGCTAAGGTGTCTTGCATGCTCACTAAGCAGATGGCTAAATACAGTCAACTTTGAAAGCACCAATTCGGGGATCTCAGGATTTGGAAAATAGATCATTGCCATCAAAACTAACAGCACTGCCCGTTTGGGAGGACAATTCTTGTGTGCACTAGTCTGTAAAGGCTGCATCACATGTACACCTAAGGTTGTGGTACACACACACACACACACCCCGATTATGTAATCCCGATTCTGTAAAGTGCAAATGGGACTGGTGGTTTGATTCAAGAGTATCATGCTGGTAAGCTTGCCATGGAGGCTGGATTGGCCAAGACTCCCTCTTGGAGACAAATGGGGTGTTCTGCTCTGGAGTATATGAAACCGCCCCAGGGTGGCTTTTCCTCAAGGAAGGCTGTGAAAACCTCCTCCTTGAAATTTCAGGCCATGTCTTAAGTTATTTGAAACATGGCTCCATACTGTGAAGCAAGTTTCTCCTTGCTTCACGGGCATGTTGAAATGATTTCTGCTACTTATCTCTGTATATTCAACAGTATGCAAACACCTATGGGCAATGATCCTGACTCGCTATGGTGCTTTATAAATGGATTACATCATTCTGTTGGCTGTCTGCTGAAGCAACAAAGTTGTCAGCTCATTTTTTGCACTGGATTTCTGTCATTCTGCGGCCCAGCCTCCCCTCCCTGCTCACCCACATGTTACAAGGGCAGATCGCTTGTGTTTCAAATTAATAGCTGCGTTTTTAAAAGCTTAAAACAAGAAAGCCACGTTTTATGTATAAAATGTATCTTAAAGGAATAGCAATATTCAGTTGAGCAGTATTAAACAGAAAGGTCAATCCCACAGAGGTTCATGTCTCCTGACCATTATTTAATAATTTTTATGACTAGCCAGTGAGAAAGTGGAGAGTACACTTGTCAAATATGCATGTGATACAAAATTTGGAAGAACTGCAAATGCAATAGAGGATTTTATATACAGTTTGAGAAGATATTGATAGGGTAGAACTCTGGAGCGCAATGGGTAATTTTGGGTGGCTGTCATTGTAAAGAGGAAATGTCAACCACTTCATTCAGACAGTTATCTACCTACCTACCTACCTATTTATCTAATATATTTTCCTGATTTTCTTTAGATACTTGGAGCTTCCCTGAGGCAAGATGGGGAGGAAAGGCACACATCGCTGCAAGCAACACAGATAACAATTGAAGAATGCAAGCTTATGCTCACTGTTTTTAGTAAAGAGAGTCTATTTTCTTATTATTTTTTTTTAAAAAGAATAAACTAATGCTTAGCAAAGGACATTGCAATACTTCAGACTCGGTGCTCATACTAGCCTATTGAATCAATTTGTGTTTTCAGGAAGGAATGTGTGATGATGAAACAAATGCTGTTCTCAAACCACATATGAAATTGCCTTATAGCAAGTCAGGCCATGGATTCAGTGGTGGCATCGTCTGTGATGAATAGACACAGCTTTGCAGGGTACCAGGCAGAAATCTTGCCCAGACTTGCTATCAGATATTATTTTAACTTCAGTTGCTGACTATTGGACCTGAGACCTTCTGCAAGCAAAGCAAAGTGCTCTGTTGCAGAGCTACTGTGTCTCACTATAGCTCAGCGGCAGAAATCTAGACACAGAAATCAAGTTTCACATTTCAGCGGGGGCTACCGTTTTTCAAAAGATGAGATAATCGGAAATTTCAGAAAGAAACATCATTTTTAAAACCAATCTTCTGATTTGCTGCATACTGCATTAGAAACCTGGTATTAGCTTTCCTCTCAAATTAAGTGGGGGGGGGCATACACACATCAGATTGCTTGAGAGAATTGTGGGGCTTCCAGAAGGGGGAAGAGTCTTTAAAATCTAGAGAGGCAGCCCTCTCAAAATATAGTATTTCACAAGAAATGACAGGATAGATATGGATTGTGGCTAATGCCATGGGTATACTGCCTCTGACACCAGTGATGGCGGTGTACAGGTTGCAGAGTAGGCAGGAGTGTAATGCACAGCCCCAGAATGCGCTCAGTCACAACAGGATATTGAGTGTTGTTTGGAGGAGAAAAACAGAAAACCTGGAAGTATGGCCAGCTGGCCCCTAAACCTGAGGACTCCTGTTTGGAGATGAGAATACACTCCAACTGATCAGACTTTCTGATCAGAAGGTCGGTGGTTTGAATCCCCGCGACGGGGTAAGCTCCCATTGCTCAGTCCCAACTCCTGCCAACCTAGCAGTTTGAAAGCAAGTGCAAGTAGATAAATAGGTACCACTCTGGCGGGAAGGTAAACGGCGTTTCCGTGATCTGCTCTGGTTCGCCAGAAGCTGCTTAGTCATGCTGGCCACATGACCCGGAAGCTGTATGCCGGCTCCCTCGGCCAGTAAAGCAAGATGAGCGCTGCAACCCTAGAGTCGGCCAAGACTGGACCTAATGGTCAGGGGTCCATTTACCATTACCTTTCAGGGAAGAAAATACATGTAGGTATTTTGAGAACAGCTTAATTGCTTTTGATAAGATTTGTGATACTTTTCAGGGTGACTTCGTGCATCCTTGTTTCTGCTGCCAGCACATTAGACCTCCCCCACCACTGTGTAATAGTGGGGAGTTACTGTGGAAATAATCATGATCTCTTTGCTGTGCCTTTCAATAAAATCTCTAAAATATATTAGCTCAGCACTAAGTGCTTGTGGTTTTTTTTAGTGGGGCAGTGAGGAGGAGGAGGATTTATTGATCTGGTCAGTTAACAAGAATGGCAGCCATCAATGGTATTCTGCTGGTGAACAATACCATCACCCCAGGTGCCAGCTTATTACACTTAAGACAAGTCCTGATTGAATGGACTTCATCTAGCCCAGTATCCCGTTTCCAACAGTGATCAGGAAGACCAGGAGCCCACAATCAAGTCCAAGAAAAGGAAAACACAAAATTATATAATAAAATACTCATAAAAGCATAACCTAGAATATCCACCCCCCCCAACTTACGTAAGAATCCACACCAGAAGCAGCCACTAAAAACTTGGCTGGATTATTAATATTTCCCAAATGCCTGGGAAAATAAAAATGTTTTGGTCTGTCCCTCAAAAAATGACAAGAGTTGGTGCCAAGTGAATTTCCCTGATAACTGGGAGCCTACTACATTACTGTCAATTGTTACCCCACACTTCTCCCCTCATCACTTTCCTAACTGCAAAAGGTCCATTTTTAAAAACTGATTTGTTGTGTGAGAACCCTTTAATTGAAGAAACTTTAATTTCTGGTATGCCCTTGAATCCCTCTTGCAAAACAGTGAGTGTTGGGGTGGTGGTGATCTATGTCTTTGAAGTCAGTGCGTGCTCAGTCCTTTTGTCAGAACTCTTGAGCATCTTGGATATAAATGGCAACTTCACCATCATCTTGAGGGTTTAGAAATTGCCCCGTGTTAAGAGCAGAGTCCCCAGATGTCTGAAGTGCCTTACTTGTGGGGTATACAAAAACAGTGATTTAAGCCAGTTCACCAGTGCAGAGAATTCCTCTAAAGCGTTCATATTTCTAACTTTCTACATACAGAGTTGTTATACTTAACAAGCATCAACTTGGACCTAAGCAGTAGGGAAGGAGGCATGCCAAAGCCACAAATCCTTTTGCTTAAAAAGATTGGCTGGCCTGTGTTAACATTGCCGTAGTTATTATGTGATATAAAGAAGAAAATCACCGCAACAGATGCTCTCAAAGTGTTTTGTATTGCCTCCTTTTCCTCTTTGCAATTTAATCTTGCATGTATGCAAAGAGAGGCTAAAACCTTGCTGAGAATGTTGCTTCCATCTGTCTCCTCCACCCTCCTCCTAGACTGAAATGATGATCCAAGAGCTTTGGGTGACTGAAACTATTAACTAGAGTCTAACAGCAATCTGGATTGGCCATGTGCTTCCCTTCAAGCCCCTTGGCAACACAGCCACAGGTGAGAATTACATAACCGGTTTTATCCTAAATTCTGCTTATGCACAGGCTTGGCTCATCCCCTGGGCTGTTTGGGGTTGCACTGTGGAAAAACACGTTTGGAACATATAGTTTGACCTCCAAACCACACATGGCTGATCCAGCCCAGGATATGAGCTGACGGACAGCTATAGGAGCAACTTCGCCCCAAGCCTGATCGGTCACATTTTCAACATCCATTAAAGTAGTTAGCCCTGGCGCAAAGAGAGTAAATTAAAGGCAAGCAGGTTAACCGTGGTTTACGCAGTGGATTAAGCTAATGAGACCCTAAAATAATGATAGAAATAAACATCAAAAGGAAGCCAACTCGGAAAGTGTCTTCCAGGACCTAATTTAAGCTGGCTGTGATGGTGACAGCTTATAAATGAAAATGACAACGTAAACAGAACGTATGTGTGCTGCCTTAATTATGGGGTGTGTGTTTAAGTTCGCTTGCCGAGACCTAAACACTGTCCACATGCTTGCCTTCATCATCTCTAACATTTTGTTTCTCAACACGTTGCTCTTTGTGCAGGCGAGTGACTGCAGACAATGCCTGCATGAGATAGCTCAGGTGGTAGAGCATGAAACTCTTAATCTCAAGGTTGTGGGTTCGAGCTCCACGTTGGGTGAAAGATTCCTGCATTGCAGGGGGTTGGACTAGATGATCCTTGGGGTGCCCTCCAGTTCTGTGATTCTATGAATGTCCCATGCCGTTGTTGGACATGCCTGGGTTATCAGCAGATGTGCACCTGTGCTGACCCCAACACCCCACACACTGCAAGCTTGCAATACCTTCGGGTTGTTACCTTTTCTGCTTTCTATATAAGATCTCACTACAAGCTGAGTTAATGGTAAATCAAACTCGATATCCGTATAGTGAAAAAATCAAACTGCATAAACAGACTTCCAAAATCATCTACTTTAGTCGGTGGAGCTTGCCTTTTGAGAGCAATCAGGTACCTTCACTGTACTTGTTTTTGGCACCTGCTAAAATCATTCCTGTTTAGACAAGCCTGCCCAGATGCTTAGAAATTTAAGGTGATCTTTAATCTGTTTTCGTATTTTGTAATTTTTAAAGTCAGGTTGTGAATTTTTCTTGGTTTTACTGTTTTATCTTTTGTAAACTGCTTTAAAGTTTGGTGGGTTTCTTTTTTGTTTTTACAACCAAGTATAAATGTTATGGGACACGGGTGGCACTGTGGGTTAAACCACAGAGCCTAGGACTTGCCGATCAGAAGGTCGGCGGTTCGAATCCCTGCGACGCGGTGAGCTCCTGTTGCTCGGTCCCTGCTCCTGCCAACCTAGCAGTTCGAAAGCACCTCAAAGTGCAAGTAGATAAATAGGTACCGCTCCGGCAGGAAGGTAAATGGTGTTTCCGTGCACTGCTCTGGTTCACCAGAAGTGGCTTAGTCATGCTGGCCACATGACCTGGAAGCTGTACGCCGGTCAATAAAGCGAGATGAATGCCGCAACCCCAGAGTTGGTCATGACTGGACCTAATGGTCAGGGTTCCCTTTACCTTTTACCTTTTATAAATGTTATGGGACAGATAAAACCAAGCACCAAATCTGGAGGCTACAGGATTTGGTGCCCTCCCTGCTGAATTGCAAGAAATCACTACTAAATTGCGCAAACCTGGCTAGGTCTGGAATTGCACGTATAAGCGGGAGCTGTATGTATCGTTAAGAGCAAAAGACAAACCTGCTGGATCAGGCCAGTGGCCAATCTAGTCAGGCATCCTGTTCACACAGTGGCCAACCAGATGCCAGCAGGAAACCCGCAAGCTGGTCCTGAGAGCAAAAGCGCTCTCTCTCTCACTGCAGTTTCCAGCAACTCGCATTCAGAAGCATGAGCATGAAATTTATTACGGTCAGAGACCAGCCTGAGAAACACAAATGGAACTACAATCCCAATAGCAAAACAAACATTTAAAACAATATACAGTGGTACCTCAGGTTAAGTACTTAATTTGTTCTGGAGGTCCGTACTTAACCTGAAACGGTTCTTAACTTGAAGCACCACTTTAGCTAATGGGGGTCTCCTGCTGCCGCCGCGCCGCTGGAGCACAATTTCTGTTCTCATCCTGAAGCAAAGTTCTTAACCTGAAGCACTATTTCTAGGTTAGTGGAGTGTGTAACCTGAAGCGTATGTAACCTGAAGTGTATGTAACCTGAGGTACCACTATACAACAATGGATTTTAAGTTTAAAAGTGTGATACACATAAAAACTTTAAAATAGACTACCTCAGAGAAATGACCCAAAGTCGCCTGTGGATCTGGGTTTGGGAATTTTCTTAACAAACTAGATTGAATCGGGGGGTGGTCTGCGCCTACAGATCTGTGCACAGAATCTGACGACAGTCTGGGTCATCTTGTGGTCTTTGCCTAACAGAAGATCGAATTTTTGCTTTACCGGGAGGTCAGCAAGCCTCTCCAGCAGGGGGTCAAGGGGTTCTCTACGTGTCTGATCGTAAAAGGGACATCTAAAAAATATGTGTTCAGGGCTTCCTATATCCCCCAATGGACAGGCGCAAATTCTCTGGTCATATGGGACTTTTTTAAAGGGCAGAGCCGAACATTCAGAAGCAATTTTTGCCTCCAACGGTGGCAGTGGAACATGGGCATTAACAGCAGTGGCGTAGCGTGGGGGGTGCAGGGGGGGCCGGCCGCACCGGGCGCAACATCTGGGGTTAGGGCAAATCCACAGGTTAGGGGGCACAAATCCACGGGTTAGGGGGCGCAAATCCACGGGTTAGGGGGCGCAAATTACTTGCCTTGCCCCGGGTGCTGACAACCCACGCTACGCCACTGATTAACAGCCATAGCCCAATCTAATAGTCAGGAATGCGCATATGTTTCTAAAAAGCTTGGATTTAGCTGATTGGCTATTCAAAGAGGTAAAGTAGGGTGACCGCTGGATTTGGTTCACCTGCTTTCCCTCCAAACAACAGGATCAGCAGGGTTGTTTTGGGAGGCAGTTGGATCACAGCCAGCGTGTTTCAAAAGAGGGACAACTGGATTCAGGGCTGCTAACCAGTTTGTTTCACAAGGGTTATATACAATTTTGCTGGCAGGGTTCCAAACACAGGCCTTCGGCAGGGCATCTCCAAAACTAGAGAGAGACAGAGAGAGAAGGGGAAAGTTTGGAGGTTGTGATGCCCTTAAGGAGACAGTGCAGAGTTACCGTATTTTTCGCTCTAGAAGACGCACCAGACCACAAGACGCACCTAGAAAACAAGAAAAAAACATATTCTGAATCTCAGAAGCCAGAACAGCAAGAGG